CTCTCTCTCTCTTTCTCTCTCTCTTTCTGCTGCCTGACATATTGTTTATTTGTCTCTTTCTGCCACTCCATCTTTGTTTCCGTCTCCCTGCCTGTCTCTGTCACTCTGTCTCTGTCTGTCTCTGCTGTCTGGCATTGTGTATGTCTGCCTCTGTCACTCTCTCTGTCTTTCTGTCTGCTTGTCTGCTTGTCTTCCTGTCTCTCTTTCTCTCTTTCTGTCAAGGTCTTCAGTTTACCAGCGATTCTGTCAAGGTCTTCAGTTTACCAGCGATTCTGTCAAGGTCTTCAGTTTACCAGCGATCATTTATTCTCGACTAACTCATATCAGTAACATGTTTTCTCAATAAATAGACATTGGCTAAAGCCTATTAGCCGACCTAATAATGAGCTCTCGTATACCCGGCTCCAGCCTGCTTCCTATATATCCCTGGCTTCATATTAAATGCTCTGGATGGCTAGAAATGTACGATATTGAGAAGCCATTGAAGACTTTAGGGTTTGAAATAACCGAGACAGAGGAGAATTTATTCCCCTGGGTAGTAATTGTTAAAGGGAAACTTCACTCATGTTTGTGTTGCATCTCTTGCCTCGAGGTTTTTACTCAGTAGCCTTCGTGTTTGAGTGTAGCGAAAGTACTTAGTATCTCCATGGTTTTACTGAGATTTCGTAGCCTGCGTTTTCTACGAGAGAACCGTGCTTTGAATCGTGCTTTGAGCCGTGCCTCGTTTGCTTAGCGATGGTGTTTGCTTAGAGATGGTGCTTGCTTTGTGATGGTGGTTGCCTACAGATGGCGCTTGCTTAGTTGCCCTTGAAAACAGAAGGTATAACAATAACAACACTCTGGATGTAAAGACTCTCACAACGTCATTTTTTTTGGATACATCTGGTTTCTAGGATTTTGGTCACTCTAAATCATACAAAAGAAAGAAACACAGTATTTTAAACATTACAAGAAAGAACGTATATCTGTGTTGAAGATCAGGTGAAGACTTGAGGTCAACTAGTTGCTGTGTCTCGTGGTGGCAGCAAGGAATCACCCTAGAGTACTATTTAGAGTACAGGGATAGTTGTGATGGTGTACTAGCCAGCTTTGTTTGTGGTGTTGGAAGCAGTTGACCCTCTCCCTTTCTCTCTCTCTCTCTCTCTCTCTTTTTTTTTTTTTTTTTTTTTTTTTTTACACAGGGTTTGACAAGGTTAAGGATCCCTAGCTTTATTGACAGCTATATTACAGGTTAAGGATTCCTAACTTTATTGGCAAGCTAAGAGCTCTCTCTCTCTCTCTCTCTCCACTTTATTCTTCTCTTTTAAATCATTCACAAAACAACAAGAGCTTTTATATATATTAAGGCTGATAAACTGAATTGTTTACCTCTCCTCTCTTCTCTTCTCTTGTTTTTACACTGTCTTTATTTCTTACACGGTTTCTTACTTTCCCTTTTCTTAGTATCCTCCTCTCTCCTTATACCATATTTTTCTTTGTTTCTCGTGCTTCTTGTTTTTCTTAAGAGTAAATTTTCAATGGGTTTCTAATATTAAAAATTTATAGCTGACAGAAAAAATTTTTTTTGGAACTTTATAGTCGCGTTTTGAGATTATTCTTAGGTTCTATTTTTTTTTTTTCTCATGTTCTAACCTTTTCAGAGAGAGAGAGAGAAAGAGAGAGAGGAGAGAGAGAGAGAGAGAGGAGGATGAGAGAAGAGAGAGAGAGAGAGAGAGAGAGAGAGAGAGAGAGAGAGAGAGAGAGAGAGAGAGGGAAAAGAGAGAGAGAGAGCCATATTATTACCACGCAAAAGGGAATTCCTTTTCGAGGCTCCAAAAAGAAAATTGTTGGTTGAAGCCTGGCCGGACCATTCTTTTTTAGGGGGATGTGGTGTGGGGATGATGATGCTGGTGTAGTGGGGGATGATGTGTGGTGTGTGGAGATGATGTGGGGGTGTAGTGGGTGATGATGTGGTGTAGTGGGATGTATGCTGGTGGTGGAGATGTTGTGCGGGGTGTAGTGGAGTGATGATGTGTGTAGTGGAGATGAGTGGGGTGTAGTGGAGATGTGTGCTGGGTAGTGGAGAGATGATGTGGTTTTGTGTAGATGATGTGCTGGTGTAGTGGGGGAGAGTGGTGTGTGGAGGATGATGTGGTGTAGGGAGAGATGATGGGGTGTAGTGGGATGTGATGCTGGTGAGTGGAGAATGATGGTTGTGTGGAGATGTGATGTGGTGTGGGAGATGATGATGTGGTGTAGTGGAATGATGATGTGGTGTAGTGGAGATGATGATGGGGGTTAGGGGAAATGTGATGCGGGTGTGTGGAGAGATGATGGGGTTAGTGGAGATGATGTGCGGGTGTAGGGAAATGATGATGGGTGTAGGGAGTGATGTGCTGGTGTGTGGAGATGATGATGTGGTGTAGTGGAGTGAGATGCTGGTGTGTGTAGATGAGTGTGGTGTTGGAGTGATGGCTGGTGTAGTGGGATGATGTGGGGTGTATTAGAGATGTTTTGCTGGTTTTGTAGTGGAGTTTGATGTGCGGGTTTTGTGGAGATGAATTGCAGTGTATGTACAAGATCCAGCTATTTTTGGGTTTTCCCAGAGGAAAAAAGGTAGTGAGGACTTTATATGACGTGGTGAGGGGAGGGGGGGAGAGAGAGAGAGGGGAAAAGGGAGGGGAGAGGAGGGGGAGAGAGAGGAGGGGGGGAGGAGAGAGGAGGGGGGGAGAGGGAGAGAGAAAGGGAGAGAGAAGGCTTTCCGGGGGCTGCTTCATTGACAATTTAAAAGGGAAAAAAAAGTGACCCTCTTTTAAACCCCCACTGTGTTGCCTTTTTGGGAAAGGAAGAGAAGGAGAGGAGAGAGAGAGAGAGGAGGAGGGGGTAGGACCCCTTCGATTTTGGGCCCATTTGGCTGCAATAACTCTGGTGCAGCCTTTTATAATGTAAAACCTGACATTGTCGTTTTTGTGTGTAAAATTTCAGTTTGATTTTTAGAAAGGGAGGGGAGAGAGAGAGAGAGAGGAGAGGAGGAGAGAGGAGGAAGGGGAGGAAGGGAAAAAGAAGGAGAGAGAGGGAAGAGAGAGAGAGAGAGAGAGAGAGAGAGAAGGGGAGGGGGGAGAAGAGAGCGATGTTAACTATACTCTGGGATTTAGATATTAAAAATTTATATTTTATTTGCTTAGTCCAAAATCCTAGATAACTTTTTGTCCTCTTGAAATAGGGCACGACCTTTTCCTTATATTTTAGTCTTTTTAAATTTCAAAGGCCCAGTGACCTCTTTCCCTTTTCTTTTTCCCTTTCAGAGGCCCCACTGCCTCTTCTTCTAAGCGTTCCAATTCCTTCTTTCTGCTCCTATTTTAACAGTTTAAGCCCCCTTTGTAAAAAGGCCTCACTAACTTTCCCCAGTTGAGGCACAATAATTTCCCTGTCCTCTTCCCCAGTTGGGGCCCTTTAAACCCCTGTTCCCCCTATCTGTTAGAGGACCTTTAAAACTTTCTTTTCCGCAACTCATTAGAGGCACCATAATTTCTCCTTCTTTAGAGGCACCACTAACTTTCGTTCCTTACCCCAGTTAGAGGACCACTAATTTCCCCGTAGGGCACAACTTTTGTTTCTCCTATCAGTTAGAGGCACTAGTAATTCCCCCAGTTAGAGGCACCAAAAACTTCCCCTCTTCAAGTAAAAGGGCCCAAAAATTTCCTCAGTTAGAGGCTCATAATTTTCTGTTCCTCTTCCCCAATTAGAGGCACCACTAACTTCCTGTTCCTCCTACTCCAGTTAGAGGTACCACTAACTTCTTCCCCTCCTCATGTCAGAGGCTTTATTAACTTTTACATAGTTTCTATCCAGACAGGGGCACCCAACTCCCCCCTCCTGGAGGGGCCATCCTGACAGGGGCGCCACTAACTCCCCTCCTCCTGGCATGGGCCATCCTGACAGGGGCACCACTAACTCCCCCTCCTCCTGGCAGGGGCCATCCTGACAGGGGCACCACTAACTCCCCCTCCTCCTGGCAGGGGCCATCCTGACAGGGGCACCACTAACTCCCCCTCCTCCTGGCGGGGGCCCCATCCTGACAGGGGAACCACTAACTCCCCCTGCTCCTGGCAGGGGTCATCCTGACAGGGGCGCCACTAACTCCCCCTCCTCCTGGCAGGGGCCATCCTGACAGGGGCACCACTAACTCCCCCTCCTCCTGGCAGGGGTCATCCTGACAGGGGCGCCACTAACTCCCCCTCCTCCTGGCAGGGGCCATCCTGACAGGGGCACCACTAACTCCCCCTCCTCCTGGCAGGGGCCATCCTGACAGACACAGCTAACTCCCCCTACAAGAGACACCACAAACTTCCCTTCCTCCTCTTCCTGACAGGGGTAATCCTGACAGAGGCACCACTAACTCCCCCTACAAGATGCACCACTAACTCCTACAAGAGGCACCACTAACTCCCCCTCTTCCTCCTCCTGGCAGGGGCCATCCTGACAGTGGCACCACTAACTCCCCCTCCTCCTGGCAGGGGCCATCCTGACAGAGACACAACTAACTCCCCCTACAATTCTCCACAAACTCCCCCTCCTCCTCCTCCTGGCAGGGGCCATCTGACAGAGACACAACTAACTCCCCTACAAGAGGCACCACTAACTCCCCCTCCTCCCTCCCCATTGGCAGGGGCCATCCTGACAGAGGCACACTAACTCCCCTACAAGAGGCACCACTAACTCCCCCTCCTCCTCCTCCTCCTGGCAGGGGCCATCCTGACAGAGGCACCACTAACTCCCCCTCCTCCTCCTCCTCCTGGCAGGGGCCATCCTGACAGAGGCACCACTAACTCCCCCTACAAGAGGCACCACTAACTCCCCCTCCTCCTCCTCCTCCTGGCAGGGGCCATCCTGACAGAGGCACCACTAACTCCCCCTACAAGAGGCACCACTAACTCCCCTCCTCCTCCCCCCTCCTGGCAGGGGCCATCCTGACAGAGGCACCACTAACTCCCCCTCCTCCTCCTCCTCCTGGCAGGGGCCATCCTGACAGAGGACCAGAGGGACTCGGCCACAGAGTTGGCTTTTAAGTACGCAGTCTACCAGATCAACAACGACCGTGTTATACTACCCAACACGACCCTCGTCTTTGATATCCAGTACGTGCCTCGCGACGACTCCTTCCACACGGCCAAGAAGGGTGAGTCGTACGTAGAAAGGGCTCTTGATCCATGGGATTAGAGCTGTCTCTCTTGGATCAAGAGCTCTCACTCCTTCCATTACTATAAGGTTATCCTGTCATCATGAATATAATAATAATAATAATAATAATAATAATAAATAATAATAATAATTATAATAATAATAATAATAATTATAATAATAATAATAATAATAATAGCCAAATCAGTAGCAGTAGTAGTTGTTGTACTAGTAGTAACAGCAACAGTCGTAGTAATTGTAGTAGTAGTAGTAGTAGTAGTAACAATAATAATAATAATAATAATAATAATAATAATAATAATAATAATAAAAATTTAATAATAAAAATTTAATTAAAATAATAATAACATCCTCGGGAATGTTAGCTTAGATGAGCAAATAAATTTCATTTAAATTATTATTATTTTATTATTATTATTATTATTACTTTATTAATTATTATCATTATTATTAATTATATTATTATTATTATTTTATTATTATTATTATTATTATTATTAATTATTATCTTTTATTTTTAATTACATTATTATTATTATTGTTATTATTATTGCTATTATTATTATTATTATTATTATTATTATTATTTTTATTATTATTATTATTATTATTATTGTTTTTGTTATTATTATTGTTATTATTATTATTATTATTATTATTATTATTATTATTATTATTATTATTATTATTATTATAATCATGGAAAGCATTAAGCTCGTAGGGGCCATACAAAGCCTGGGGAATGGGAGGCAATCATGTTCCATAGCTCCAGTTACTTGAATCAAGAGCCCTTCTACTGTACCAATTCTCCAATATCTTCCTCCTCACATTTAGTATTGATAATTAAATGAGCGAATGAGAGATATAGAAGAGAAAGAGAGAGGGAGGGAGAGAGGGGAAAGAAGGAGAATAAGAGACAGAGAGAGAGCTAAGTTATTATTATTATATTCATAAAAGACAGTAAAGTTAGAGAGAGTTATAGAGTATAAATTAAAGGGAGCTTAATAGGAAGAGTGAGAACTGAACCCTTTGACTGATGGTCAATATTGTCTCCCTTTCAGGTACTGTAAGTATTGTGGGTAGTTAGTACCTTTTATAGAGGTAGTGTGAGGTATTGTGGGTAGTTAGTACCTTTTATAGAGGTAGTGTGAGGTATTGTGGGTAGTTAGTACCTTTTATAGAGGTAGTGTGAGGTATTGTGGGTAGTTAGTACCTTTTATAGAGGTAGTGTGAGGTATTGTGGGTAGTTAGTACCTTTTATAGAGGTAGTGTGAGGTATTGTGGGTAGATTTGTACCTTTTATAGAGGTAGTGTGAGGTATTGTGGGTAGTTAGTACCTTTTATAGAGGTAGTGTGAGGTATTGTGGGTAGTAAGTACCTCTTACAGAGGCAATGTGGGGTATTGTGGGTAGTTAGTACCTCTTACAGAGGTAGTGTGGGGTATTGTGGGTAGTTAGTACCTCTTACAGAGGTATGTGGGGAGGGGGTAATAAGTGGGAAGTTAGTACCTCTTACAGAGATAGTGTGGGGTATTGTGGGAAGTTAGTACCTCTTACAGAGGTAGTGTGGGGTATTGTGGGTAGTTAGTACCTCTTACAGAGGTAGTGTGGGGTATTGTGGGTAGTTAGTACCTCTTACAGAGGTAGTGTGGGGTATTGTGGGGAAGTTGTACCTCTTACAGAGGTAGTGTGGGGAATTGTGGGTAGTTAGTACCTCTCACAGAGGTAGTGTGGGGTATTGTGGGTAGTTAGTACCTCTTACAGAGGTAGTGTGGGGAATTGTGGGTAGTTAGTACCTCTTACTGAGGTAGTGTGGGGAATTGTGGGTAGTTAGTACCTCTCACAGAAGAAGTGTGGTTTATTGTGGGTAGTTAATACCTCTTACAGAGGAAGTGTGGGGTATTGTGGGTAGTTAGAGCCTCTTACAGAGGTAGTGTGGGGTATTTTGGATAGTACCTCTTACAGACGTAGTGTGGGGTATTGTGGATAGTTAGTACCGCTTACAGAGGTAGTGTAGGGCGTTATGGGTAGTTAGTACCTCTTGCAGAGGTAGTGTGGGGTATTGTGGGTAGTTAGTACCTCTTACAGAGGTAGTGTGGGGTATTGTGGGTAGTTAGTACCTTTTGCAGAGGTAGTGTGAAGTGTTGTGGGTAGTTAGTACCTCTTACAGAAGCAGTGTGGGGAATTGTGGGTAGTTAGTACCTCTTACAGAGGTAGTGTAGAGTATTGTGGGTAGTTAGCACCTTTTACAGAGGTACTGTGGGGTATTGTGGGTAGTTAGTACCTTTTAAAGAGGGAGTGTGGGGTACTGTGGGTAGTTAGTACCTCTTACAGAGGTAGTGAGAGGTATTGTGGGTAGTTAATACCTCTTACAGAGGTAGTGTCGGGTATTGTGGGTAGTTAGTACCTCTTACAGAGGTATGTTGGGAATTGTGGGTAGTTAGTACCTCTCACAGAGGTAGTGTTGGGTATTGTGGGTAGTTAGTACCTCTTACAGAGGTAGTGTGGAGAATTGTGGGTAGTTAGTACCTCTTACTGAGGTAGTGTGGGGAATTGTGGGTAGTTAGTACCTCTCACAGAGGTAGTGTCGGGTATTGTGGGTAGTTAGTACCTTTCACAGGTATGTGGAGAATTGTGGGTAGTTAGTACCTGTTACACAGGTAGTGTGGGAAATTGTGGGTAGTTAGTGCCTCTTACAGAGGCAGAGTGGGGTATTGTGGGTAGTTAGTACCTCTTACAGAGGTAGTGTGAGATGCTGTGGGTAGTCAGTACCTCTTATGGAGGTAGTGTGGGGTATTGTGGGTAGGTAGTACCTCTCACAGAGGTAGTGTTTGGTATTGTGGGTAGTTAGTACCTCTCACAGAGGTAGTGTGGTTTATTGTGGGTAGTTAATACCTCTTACAGAGGAAGTGTGGGGTATTGTGGGTAGGTAGTACCTTTTACAGAGGTAGTGTGACGTACTGTGGGTAGTCAGTACCTCTTATAGAGGTAGTGTGGGGTACTGTGGGTAGTCAGTACCTCTTATAGAGGTAGTGTGGGGTATTGTGGGTAGTCAGTACCGCTTACATGGACAGTGTGGGGTATTGTGGGTAGGTAGTACCTCTTATAGAGGTAGTGTGGGGTATTGTGGGTAGTCAGTACCGCTTACAGAGGTAGTGTGGGATATTGTGGGTATTGTGGGTACCTCTTACAGAGGTAGTGTGGGGGTATTGTGGGTAGGTAGTACCTCTCACAGAGGTAGTGTGGGGTATTGTGGGTAGTTAGTACCTTTTACAGAGGAAGTGTGGGGTATTGTGGGTAGTTAGAGCCTCTTACAGAGTAGTGTGGGGTATTTTGGATAGTTAGTACCGCTACAGAGGTAGTGTAGGGTGTTATGGGTAGTTAGTACCGCTTACAGAGGTAGTGTAGGGTATTGTTGGTAGCTAGTACCTCTTACAGAGGCAGTATCGGATACTGTGGCTAGTCAGTACCTCTTACAGAGAAAATTTACAAATATTATTATTGTTATAATTGTCACAATTTATTATTATTATTTTATTATTAATATTATTATTTTTATTATTATTATATTATTAATTATTATTATATTATTATTATTATTATTATTATTATTATTATTTTATTATTATTATTATATTATTATTATTATTGTTATCATCTATCATCATGGAGAGCACTAAGCCATATAGCAAGAAAGTCTCACATAGCAAGAAAATTTAGAGGGTACGAGAAAAAATCAATAATACATGTAGCAGTATGAAAATAATGGAATCCAGAACTGTCAGAATGATTAAGACACGTACAACACCTAGGTAAATATTAAAAGACCTATGTGTTGCACATGTGTCTTATTCATCAGAGAATATATATATATATATATATATATATATATATATATATATATATATATATATATATATATGCAAAACAACCACTGTGAAAGAATGGAGAAATTCCAAGCGCTTTCGTGACTACTCACATTATCAAGGAACAATGAAAGAAGAGCATCAAAGGAAGGTATATAAGGGGTCTAGCTCACACCTCACTATCAGATCCCACAACAAAGGAACATCTGACACGCGACTCATAAGAAAGGGAACACTGCAGCAGGCCCGCCGGCCCAACTAGACAGGTCCTTCACACAACCCACCAACAAACTATTCTACCCAAGAAATAAGAATTTTAAAAATTATTATTTGTCCAATGTATTAATAAATTCTTCCCAAATTTTATTAATTATAAATGGATCTAATTTATATAAACCAAAGGAAATATTCATATTATTGTCAAAACTGCTTTTTATGAAACAAGATTCAATTATATTCCTGTCGACCATGGACTTGCTTGATACTACTTTCTCAACTTTTTGAAAATCAATTGGATGGTTAAAATCTCTCACATGAATAAATAGAGCATTGGAAACTTGTCCAGTTCTAATGCTATATTTATGTTGTTTTAATCTTATTCTGAGACTTTTACCAGTTTGACCGTAATAAACTTTATCGTAAATTTTACAAGGAATCTTATAGACACATCCATCAGCATTTTGGGGGGAATTCTTTATCAAAAGTTTTTTTACTGTATCAAGATTTTTTAATACAACTTTAATATTAAAAGTCTTAAGAAGAGAAGGCATATCAACAAGGTTTTCATGGTAAGGGAGAACCAACATATTTTTAGTTGAATAAGGCTGGTTGTCCCTTTTTGGATTGTAAAAAGTGTTTCTAGCAACTTTAAAAGATTTATCAATTACGTTTCTTGGGTATTTCAAATCATTACCTATTTCATAAATTTTGGATATTTCCTCATCTATGAACTCAGGACTACAAATTCGTAAAGCTCTCAAAAACATTGATGAGAAAACAGACAGTTTGACTCTATCTTGATGCGAAGAATAATAGTTGACATAGGAACAGTTATTTGTAGGTTTTCTGTACATTTTAAATTTGAATTCATTATTACCCTTAATAATTAAAAC